TAGCGGTCCTTAGGGTTAATTCAGTGAATGAACATTTATTGTAATTTCATTCTACTTAAGTAAATACATAATTTTGGTTGACCCTGTAGAAATAAATATTCAAATAATTATACCGGATAGACGCATAGTGTCATTGTTTTTTATCAACAAATAGGGCAAAAATTCGTCATTTTTCGCTCTGGATTGATCAATTATGGGCAAATTCAATTAAAATTAACAGGGCATAAAGTTTAAACCTTCATTTACAAAATGTTAAAATTTCAAGTCTTAATGTTTATAACAAATTGCTCTGTAATTAAAAAAAAAAATTGTTAACTCCGGACCTATTGGTCGTAGAAACTTTTTTTCCATTTGTAGGTTTTTTACGAGCTTTCGAATGGTGTATATAACTTCTTTCAAAAGTCAAAAACCCCGGAGTTATTTTATTTTGTTTATTAGGGAAAACTGTGCCTTTTATTTGTTAACAATTATATAGGTACAACTAAATTCGGAAAAAAATAATTTTTTTTAACTAGAATGTTTTAGTCATAATCCTGCCCCCGGAATAGTCATTTGAAAATGGGCCTTTTTGCAAAAATGGGGTAAATAAACGGAATTTTGCAAAAACTATTTCACCGATCGAGTCCATCTTTTGCACATCTCTTAAGGATATAAAAACTCACATTTTGGGAAGGTTTGGTAAGATGTTATTAAATATTTAAAAAGTTATTAACAATTAAAGAAAAAGCACTTTTTCCGTTTAATTTTACAATAAATTTTATGTTTATAAAGCAAAATTTTAACTTATAAAGTCTCATTTTAAAGATGAGTTTCTCTGTAGTAGGATCGTATTGGATGCAAAGTAGAACAAAAAATTGTCGGTCTTTTATCAAAGGAAAATCGTGTCATCCTTTTTAGGAGGCGTAAGATGAACCAATTCAAATTTAAAATGATATTGAATGTAAAATCTGAAATACCGCTGCATGCGCACTGTGTTCTGGTAGTAACTGTAGTCGCCCAGGTGCATCGAGTGTACGAAGTGGTCGGTTATACGTCAGATACTAACCTGGTGAGCTTGGTCGTAAATCAGAGACCGACTCCAAAAAACAAGTAAACAACAGTGGCGCGTACAGAGGTAAAATGTGGTACATAATTATGTGGAATTTAAAAAACAAATTGGACATANTGTTTTAGTCATAACCCTGCCCCCGGAATAGTCATTTGAAAATGGGCCTTTTTGCAAAAATGGGATAAATAAATGGAATTTTGCAAAAACTATTTCACCGATCGAGTCCATCTTTTACACATCTCTTAAGGATATAAAAACTCACATTTTGGGAAGGTTTGGTAAGATGTTATTAAACATTTAAAAAGTTATTAACAATTAAAAAAAAGCACTTTTTCCGTTTAATTTTACAATAAATTTTATGTTTATAAAGCAAAATTTTAACTTAAAAGTATCATTTTAAAGATGAGTTTCTCTATAGTAGGATCATATTGGATGCAAAGTAGAGCAAAAAATTGTCGGTCTTTTATCAAAGGAAAATCGTGTCATCATTTTTAGGAGGCGTAAGATGAACCAATTCAAATTTAAAATGATATTGAATGTAAAATCTGAAATACCGCTGCTCTGGTAGTAACTGTAGTCGCCCAGGTGCATCGAGTGTACGAAGTGGTCGGTTATACGTCAGATACTAACCTGGCGAGCTTGGTCGTAAATCAGAGACCGACTCCAAAAAACAAGTAAACAACAGTGGCGCGTACAGAGGTAAAATGTGGTACATAATTATGTGGAATTTAAAAAACAAATTGGATTTATAATAAATTACATTTAAAATAAATAGTTTATGAGAATAAAGGATTTTTTGTAGGAACAAGGGTGTCAGACGTGAAGTGATCCCTTCGTTCCTTCATAATGTGTAAAGAAATTATTCAATTTCTAAACCCCTTACAAGCGTATTGCACTGGATCCCTTGACAGGCAATGATTTATTACTTTGCATCGAAAATGATCCTACTATAGATCAAATCGTCTGTTGAATATTTTTTTTTAAGATTAATAGTTTTTTACAATAACGCGTAGAACGAAAAATGACGAATTGTTGACCTATTTGTTGATAAAAAACAATGACGCTATACTTTTTTCATGACCCATTTGATGAAACGCCTTTTATATTATCATTGCCAAGATTTTCCAACAATAAAATCGCGCCCAGTAATTAATAAATTCAAAATATTTCCTTTTCTTGTGTACTAGCGCAATAAACCAATAGACGAATTTCAACAATCCGTGCGTGCTTTTCGCTCCGTTCGTCTACTAGCCAGTGCGCCGTCATCATAAATCGATCGGACAGTAGCGAACTCGATTTCTGTAACCAGATTAGAGGACAAAGGGCGCAGACCCGCTGCACAGATTAGTGCAGGTTCCCTAATTGATTGAGGTTCGCACCCGCACCGGCTCCGGGGCCTTGTAAGCCCTGTCGCGCTAGTCGTGTGTGCCCTTCTGGCGTAACTCTTCAATCATAATCAAAAACGAATCTTCTCTCTCTAGATCTGTGCTTTGCTGGACCGATTTTTTTGTATGTTTCATTTTTGGAGCTTGAATAGCAGGTTTACTGCTGTCGTTGATTGTACATATGATTAAGATACCTTAGTGTTTAAAAATACGATTAACTGGTTTTAGCACCTCGCTTTTCAAAACATTTACACGAGATTGGCGTTCTCTTCAGTAAATATGTAAATTCCTAATTTCATAGTTACTTTAAGGTGCGTATAGATCGGCAAACACATCGCGAGCAATTCGCGAGCAGTTCGCGAGCAGTTCCACGTCGACATCTAAAAAGAGAACCGTATTTTTGTGTGTTCGTAAACTTGCGATTAGATATGTTGATAAACGTTGGACACTCATAGAACAACACTCAAAAAATGGTCTTTGCAAACGTTTACTTGTAACTGATCGCGACCTGTTTGCGGGCTGATCGCGAACAAGCCTTGAAATTGTGTATAAATTGTTCACAATATGTTTGTTGGTGGGTTGAACATGTTTGGCAACTGACGGAAACTTTGAAGAGTTGGACGTGAACAAATATAAAGATACCAATGTTTTATGGGCTGGTCGCAATCTCAACGTAAATGCTTTGCGAATAGCGCCATTAGGTTTCCAATAATTTTAAGAAGCATGAAACAAATTATACCGCAAAACGTATATATTCACGATACAATTATTTCATGTTCTAAAGACATTGTACAATAGTGTATTAAACAACAAGGTTTGAAAACGAGTTTTTTACGATACTTTTTATACGACTGCAGAGACCACAAAAATCAAATTTTAATTTAAATCGTTTTTATTACTAAAATTGCCAACGCATTAACAAAATAAATTAAATACAACTTTTAATTCAACTCGTTTTTATTAAGAACATTGCTAACGCATTAACAAAAGAAACTAATATTTAATATTTATGGTAACATTTGAACATTCCTTCAAGGTTACGCTGGGAAAAGCAGTATTATTGTGCACCTTGTTTTCGGTAATAGAGAATATTTTTGGTGTCGTGTTTTTAGTGCAGTTTTTCAGCGTGCGGTCGTTGTTTTCTTGTTGTATTCCAGTAGACGATCGTTGTTCTGGTTCTGTGGCAGCAGAAGACACTGAAGACTCTATCTTTTTCGAAACTTCCATTTTATTTCTCAAACAGTCATCAACGTAGCCTTCGGCAACTGTACTGGATTTCCACCCTCCATGGCGTTTGAGGGCAAGCAGATTTGAGCCAGAATTGACTAAAATTGTGGCCGATGAACGCCGAAAACAATGTCCCGTGTAACTTTCTGGATTCTCTAGCATCAAAAACTTGGCGATTTCCCTAGCCATGTTTCCAATTTTGTTGATGCCAACGTTTTGGCTTGAACATTTTCCGTTTTGATAGTTTAAAAAAAACCTGCCTGTCTTCAGATTAGGAGGACGAAGAGCACAGTACTTTTTTAAGATAGTGTAAAGGTTTCCTGTAATTGTAAAACACCTTGGTACCTTTGTTTTTGTATTCTTCAGTTTAATCAGCATAGCACTGCCGAAATCTTTGGTGTCTTCTATTTTGAGATAACATAATTCCTCCCTTCGACATGCCCCAGATAGTCCAACTGCCACCACCGCCTTGATAAGTAAATATTTGTCGTCTGATGCTTTCGTCAAAAACCGGCAAAAATCATCTTCTGTGAGGATTTGGGACTTCTTTGGGACGTAGTTTTCGGATTTTCGTTTGATTAGCGCTTGCAACTTTTTATAGCTTCCAAGATCTATGTTGTGATTGGCACTTAACGTTGACTTGAGCATCGAAAAAATCGTCCACAACGTCGAAGATTTATATTTCTTAGATAGTTCTTCAAAATACACCATTACTGCGTTTTCTGAGAAAGTTTGGACATTTTTGGCTAGTCGCCAGTCCATAAATCGGCTTAACTCAGCTTCATACCTGCTTCTGGATTTTGTGGGCAGCAGTTCCGAACATATTTCGCTTGCTTTCTGTAAAATCTCTTCAGAATCACACATTTTCACACCCAAACTTCGGGAATTCAACAATTTTTGAAGTATCTAATCAACAAAATAAAGGAGCCGTGACGGTTGCTATGAAACTCAGCCAACTTGAAACATTGCATAATTTGGGTGACAACATCAAACAAAAATCACAATCTGGAGACGCGTGTGCAAAGATGACAAAACCGTGTGCAAAATGTTTAGCACATGGCGTGTGCAAAATACCGTTTTCAGAGCGTGTTTTCCGTGCGCAAAACCCCCTTTTGCAAGGCAGCCGTATAAAAACTATTTTATTAAAATAAATATGTACTAACTACCATAAAAAACATATGTAAATACTGAATATTATAATATACACCTATATAAAAAAAAAATTAAAACATGTTAAGGACCTTTTTATAGTTAACCTTTATTAATAATTAATAAACACTCAGTTAATATTTTTGTAATTTCTGTCAACCTTATGTTTTCTTCTTGTTTACTTCACTCACCTGTAGATGAGCTTCCTCCTGACCGACCTCTTAAAGAACCCGGAGCACCCATTACAGGCCAGAATTCCGTAGTGTTTTCCCGAGCTGGTGTCCCCGCATACGACGCATATGAGCCCCGGGGTACCCTTTTTGGTGGGCACGCTCCATGGAGGTGGGGGTGTTCTGGAGGCCTGGACTAAAGTCTGGGAGTTGGGCAGGCAAAGAGCAAGCGGGTGGTCGTTTTCAGAGGAGTAGCAGTCTACAGTGCCGGGAGACGTCCTGACATCTGAAAAAATGTAAAAAAGAGATCAGGACAAAGTTAAATCATTGGTTTTATAAGCTGTCAATGGTCAAATCTTTAACTGCGTTGATTTTCGACGGTGTATTACAGATTGAACATTTTTTTGGTATATCGTAGGAGCTTAAAAGCAGTGGTTCTGAAACGGTTATATACCTAATGTTTAAAAACATTTACATTTGTTTTTAATGGCTGATTGCTAAAAATGTGCCTTAGTAAAAAGTGTTTAGAAATTGCGTAAAAAAAATATACTCACCATTGCTCGAGGGTTAGTAATTTTGGCAAATTTAGACAACAGGATGGTTTATGTTTATATAAGATTTGGTCTGCAAATCTACGGTTAAAGAGATACAATCCTTCAAATTTTTTGGAATAAATTATATTATTTTTATATTTCTAAAACACGCGTAGTAAATGAAAATTAGGCCAATAATCCTTAATTTCAATGTCAGTGTCGTAGATAGTCTTTTAACGTTATTATATGTTATTAAAGACTTTTATGAAAAAATACTCTTGTGAGGTTCTTATATCTTAGTTTTCAAAAAATTTTTAGGTGTAGGTATGTCTCGGGAAGATTTATGTAAATTAATTTTACACACTTTTGCAAAATGTATTTTTCTTTTCGTAATCAAGAGATACATGCAAATACACTTATTTCTTTATTCTTTAAATAGGTGTAACTACGACAAATAATATTTACTTTTGATCAAGTGGTAGCTCGAGTGATTTAAGCATGCTCACTTTATCGCAGTCTGCCTCGATGTTATCTTTCACTTTTCAGTCTGCCTTTTTGCATATCGTTTATGGGTATAAACAATAACAACAAATAATTTTTATCCATGAATCTTATAATTTTTTTCAATGAAAAAATTTCACCACTTCGAAGCGGTGTGTCGACACCTTTTCTTCCAGGAAACAATCTGCCAATTTTATTAAATTTATTTCAACATTAAATATTCCCGGCAACTTTTATGCTTGAATCTTTCATTTGTCTTGTAATTTACTGTCTTTGGTCGACCCCCCCCCCTCTTTTTTCCAGGCAGACTGGTGATTTATTGTAGTCTTTTCACGATGTTATAGATGCAATTTTTATGTAGCTAGCTCTTATTGTTAAACCATAAAGGACCTTATAAAATTTCTCAATTCCAGTTACCTATATTTATTAGTCCAATAAAATGGGCCTTTAAATCTCAATTTGATCAACTTGCCTGAATTTTTTATATGTTAGTTTGAGTGACAGTGAGTGAGTTGAAGTGACAGTAATTTTTTTTCAACCCCCGACCAGGGGTGAAAAAAGATAAAATAACGGGTTTTTTTAAGATAACTCAAAAGAGGTAAGAGCTAGAAAAAAAAAGTTTCTTATAAAAGTTGTAGAGCATAAAATTCTACATAAAAAATGGTCTATTGACTTTTTCTGGTACTATTAAAATTAACAGAGTTGGGGAGATTAGAAGTTAAGGGATGATTTCAGAAATTAAAAAATCATAAGTAAAAAACTTAATGAATTTTATATTTTTTTTTCAATCTACTCTAAAAAAATGTAGAGTTTCTTTCAAAGAAATATATATTTTTTTTGATTTTAAAAAAGTTACAACAATTTTAATTTTTTAATCGTTAATTTTTATGATTTAACACTAAAACAATTTTTTCTATGCCATTCGATTGATTATTATTTAAAATAATAAAAAATTGCTTTCGAAATTTTGTTTTACGACAAATATAAAAATCACGTTCGCTTTGTGACATTTTTGTAACTTTTTTATTAAAAATTAAAAAATACATTTATCTATTTCTCTGAAAATATACTTTACATTTTTTAAAGTAGATTGAAAAAAATATATATAAAATTCATTAATTTTTCTGCTTGTTACGATTTTTTAAATTTCTGAAATCATCCCTTAACTTCTAGTCTCCCCAACTCTGTTAATTTTAATAGTACAAGAAAATGTCAATAGACCATTTTTATGTTTTATTTTTTCCTAACTCTCACCCCTTTTGAGTAATCTTGAAATACACCTGTATTTTATCTTTTTCCACCCTTGGTGGGGGTTGAAAAAAAATTACTGTCACTTGTTATTATATACTTCGAACTAACATATCAAAAATTCAGTCAAGTTGACCAAAATTGCGACTTAAAGGCCCATTTAATTGGACTACATGTGCACTTATTAGCAATAATCAATTTCCCGAAAAAAATTAAATCTACTGAACCTTCATAAGAGACTACAAGCCACGTGACCAGTAATTTTGTTTAAAACGGTAATTTTATTCCCTGTACGTTGGCAATTAAAAATTATCAAAACAACCGCCGGCTGGTGATTGGTAATTTTTCACGACATTTTATTAAACCAATCGGCATTCGCATTATCTCGAGCATAGATGCAACAGTTTGTCATTGTAAACGAATCATTAATATTGAAGATATTAAGATTTGGAGATTTCTAGTAGACAATGCCAATCATGTAATGGTGGTTGCCTAACCCCGGCGGTAATGTGGTTTTTAATCATTTATGAAGCAGTCCTCAAGCGTATTTTTTTGTTAAGTAATAAAATTTGTCTCATTCTTTTTTGGCGTCATTTTATAAGTACATATAATAAGAAAAGAGTTATTTTAAGTTTATAAACACCCTGTATATGGATTTGTAATTATTTTCAAATCACTTTAGAAAAATAGCTTCTCCGCCCTCCCATAAATGTTCGATTTACTACAAATCCAAAACTATTAAGCACATCAAACATAAAATCACAACCGATTTACTAAACGTCCCCCGAACAAAAAAACAATTTACATGACAATAGCACCTTCCCTCTTAACATGCTGAAATTTGCGCCATATGTAAAGTGCTGCAAAATATTTTCGAAGGCATGTATCGAACCCTGCGAGAAGGACTTAGCAGGATAAGGACGGCACGCGTCTCGCAACACCCGGAACAAGGACGAGTAGACTGCCGGGGATTACGCTTGTCTCTATTTAATTCTGGTGTATTAATTTGTATTATATGGGGATAAAGTGGTGGCATTATGATAGAAAGTTAGGTTAGGGCGGCGGGTGGATTGACTATCCCTTTGTGAGTTTGAAGGGGTGTCGACTACATCGATATATTATACCATGTGGTCAAGCAAATTAAAAATCTATTACATACAGAGGAGATTTGGCGAGATTTCACGCGCGTTGGAGCTTTGGAGAGGTGCCAGAGGGCAGAGAGAGGGCGGCAGAGATTATTGTTATCAGAAACATATTTCTATCGCTTTGGATTATAAAAAAATGCCGTAATTATTTATTTTCTACATCAATGTTGTAGTGACTATATTTTTGTCTTTGCTTTCGTAAAAAAATTGCGAACTGACAACGTATAGTTTTCCAATTAATACACGTAAGAAGGAGAATTGCACTAAAATGTTTTTGGTCTCTTCGATAATAAGTACTCTTTCTTAGGTTCTGCTTAATCTAGCACTGGTTTTGAGGTCTCCAGCGTGTATAGTTTTTCCGAAGTCAGTTGAACATGTATAAAAACGCCTAGCAATAAAATTTAATGAGTTTCATAGGCGTCCCTAAAAAAGTTTTCTGCTAATGGTAAGAATTTTTTATATAATGTATAGAAACTTTCTATTAACATATATGTTCATTTGGCAAACAACATATTTTAAGTACTTATCTCCTCAAACAATTTTATTATATTGATGGTAAATTTCGTTTTGTTGCGTTTTAAATAATAATAATAAATTAAAATTATCCGAATCACACCAAATTCCGCATTGCTGCACTGCATTGCTAGGCAATTTCTCAACCACTTTTCAACAGCTGAGATTTATTGCCCAGTCGCCCAGTGCGGCTGTGTAATACGCCGTTTGCTCGCGAGCCCATTCTCCAACTGGGCGTATACATTTCTACCACTTCCACGTTTAGTTCGACCAAACCGGTATATGGGTACGGCTAAATCAGGGATGCACATACCGCGGCCTGCTGTCGATGTTTATGCGGCCCGCCAACGAATTTTAAAAGTATTCTACTCGCCGCGCTCCGGTCCAAGCATATTATTACGAGACTAGAAATCTGTCGCATCAACTAGATTACAGATTCGCGAAACACGTCGATCCCCGAACAAAGTGGATGGTTCTCGATGTTTGGTAACTCGTATAAATACGACGCATCGCCGGCTACCGGGGCAGTTAAGTTTTGACTACGGATAAGCGAACGTTATACTGTTTGAGAACTGTAATCTGTGACGAGTAAATATTTCGTCGTTCGAACTTGGCTTTTACCGACTGTAACATATAATATTAATTTTGATATGGATAAACCAGGCCCCAGTAAGAAACGTAGTCGTAAGGTTGAAGATGAAAATCGACAGTTTCATGATATTTGGACCGAAAAATACTTTTTTATTTCATCGCATAACAAAATTGTCTGTTTAATATGCAAGAGTAGTGTTTCTATTCCGAAGGAATATAATGTGAAAAGGCACTATGAAACCCAGCATCCAACTTTTACCAAATTAACTGGCGAAAATCGAACGCAAAGAATTTCCACTTTACAACGGGAACTAATAGGCCAGCAATCTATGTTTACAAAACCAATTCAAGATGCTGAAACAGCCACTGAAGTTAGCTTTGAAATATCTCGAATAATAGCGAAAACTTGTCGGCCTTTTAAAGATGGTGAGTTTGTTAAGCAATGTTTGGATATCGCCGCAAAAAAAATTTGTCCGGAAAATGTAAAGAAGTTTGAAAAAATTCAGTTAAATCGGATGACTGTTCAAAGAAGAATTACCGCATTAGCAGATAATATAGAAGAGCAATTAGCTACGAAATCGAGAAGTTTTGAGTATTTTTCTATAGCGCTCGACGAATCTACAGATATAAGTTCAACTGCTCAACTATTAATATTTTTACGAGGTGTAACGCAAAATTTTGAAGTGAGTGAAGAACTGATTGGTATGAGTTCTTTGACAAGTCAAACCAGGGGAAGTGACATGCTCAAAGCTCTT